CTGTCAAGTAGGAAAATTAGGTACCACCTTAAAAAGTGTGGGGAGGCTAAATTAACTGATTTATGAGGCCATAAAGAAGACTCCAGCAAAGCATTCCAACGGGGAAGCATGCGGGGAATGCGGAAGCGCTTCATCAGCATCGCAGATGGACGAGGAAAGCGACAACTCCCCTGGCGGCCAGGAAAAGTTAAATAGCCTCTGTGTATGTCTGTATATGTTTGTATGTCAAAAATTGGCATATATGTGTACACTGTAATCCGCCCTGAGTCCCCTGCGGGGTGAGGAGAAGGGCGGAAGAGAAAAGCTGTAAATAAATAAATAATAATAAATATAAATAAAAATTATTATTATTACTATTACTACTACTGTACTGTTTTAGTATTAGTAATAATATTATTACTACTATTATTGGTATTAGTATATTATATTTATATTACATGTTTATTATTCATGTTATTATTATTATTATTATTATTATATTATATAACTACATTATATTATTATTACATTATTATTAGTATATTATATTTATATTAGGGCCCCCTGGTGGTGCAGCAGTAGGTTAAATCGCTGAGCTGCTGACCAAAAGGTTGGCAATTCAAATCTAGAGAGCGGGGTGAGTACCATAGTAATATTCATTTTACTATATTATAATTATTATATTACTATTTTTTTATGCCAGGAACGACTTGGGAAACTGCAAGTCACTTCTGGTGTGAGAGTAATAATATCAGTATTATATTATTATGACTACTACTACTATTATACTATTGTTTTAGTAGTATTATTAATATTATTACTACTTTTACTGCATTACTATTATTGGTATTTGTATATTATATTTATATTACATGCTTATTACTCATAATATAATAATATAATATTATTATATTACTGTAACTACATTACATTATTATTACTTTATTATTAGTATATTATACTAACTGCAAGTCACTTCTGGTGTGAGAATAGTATTAGAATTATTATTCCGCTATCAGCCCTAGCTTCTGCCAACCTAGCAGTTTGAAAACATGCAGATGTGAGTAGATCAATAGGTACCGTTCCGGCAGGAAGGTAACGTACCGCTGCAGTCATGCTGGCCACATGACCTTGGAGGTGTCTATGGACAGCGCCGGCTCTTCAGCTTAGAAATGGAGATGAGCACCACCCTCAGAGTCAGACATGACTGGACTTAATGTCAGGGGACTACCTTTACCTACCTTTTTTATTATATTATATATAATAAAATATTATATATAATTATACTATTGTTTTAGTATTATTAATAATATTATTATTACTAATATAATATTAGTATTATATTATTCTGACTATTATTTTAGTATTATTATTATTAATAATATAATATTAGTATATTATTATTATTATTATTATTATTATTATGACTAGTACTATTATACTATTGTTTTAGTATTATTAGTAGTAGTATTACTATTACTGCATTACTATTATTGGTATTAGTATATTATATGTATATTACATGTTTATTATTCATGTTATTATTATATTATTTTAACTACATTATATTATTATTACTTTACTAGCTGTGCCCTGCCACGCGTTGCTGTGGCCTATAGTAAAACTTATCAAAGTTGAGGTAGATATCTGGACTATTATGTGTGTGCAGCGGCGGGGGGAATGATGGAGCCTGGGGTTGCGTGTGTGTGTGCGGCGGCGGGGGGAGTGGGGTTGCGTGTGTGTGGCGGCGGGGGGAGTGATGGAGCATGGGGTTGTGTGTGTGTGTGCGGCGGCGGGGGGAGTGGGGTTGCGTGTGTGTGTGCGGCGGCGGGGGGAGTGATGGAGCATGGGGTTGCGTGTGTGTGTGCGGCGGCGGGGGGAGTGGGGTTGCGTGTGTGTGGCGGCGGAGGGAGTGATGGAGCGTGGGGTTGTGTGTGTGTGCGGCGGCGGGGGGAGGGGGGCGTGGGGTTGTGTGTGTGTGCGGCAGCGGGGGAGTGATGGAGTGGGGTTGCGTGTGTGTGTGCGGCGGCGGGGGGGAGAGGGGGTTGCGTGTGTGTGTGTGGCGGCGGGGGGGGAGTGATGGAGCGGGGGTGCGTGTGTGTGCGGCGGCGGGGGAGTGGGGGGTGGGGTTGCGTGTGTGTGTGCGGCGGTGGGGGAGTGATGGAGCGTGGGGTTGCGTGTGTGTGTGCGGCGGCGGGGGGAGTGATGGAGCGTGGGGTTGCGTGTGTGTGTGCGGCGGCGGGGGGGGTGATGGAGCGTGGGGTTGCGTGTGTGTGTGTGGCGGGGGGAGTGATGGAGCGTGGGGTTGCGTGTGTGTGCGGCGGCGGGGGAGTGATGGAGCGTGGGGTTGCGTGTGTGTGTGCGGCGGGGGGAGTGATGGAGCGTGGGGTTGTGTGTGTGCGTGCGGCAGGGTGTGTGTGTGCGGGAAGCGGCGCGGCTTGGAGTGGGCATGTCTTCCGCAGAGGGAACGTTGGCCGGAAGACTGTGTGCGCGCGCCAGGGAACTTGCGGCTGGGCACCAATGCGCATGTTCAGTTGTTTTGCCGTTTTGTGAGTGTGTTGTTGTGTTGTTTTTCATTTTGAGTAGATATGTTTGTACCTTGTGGGTTGTGTTATGGGCATGGGAATTTTGGTTAAGTTTCGTTGGGTTTTTTTGAGTTTTGTTGTTTTGCCGTTTTGTGAGTGTGTTGTTGTGTTGTTTTTCATTTTGAGTAGATATGTTTGTACCTTGTGGGTTGTGTTATGGGCATGGGAATTTTAGTTAAGTTTCGTTGTGGTTTTTTGAGTTTTGTTGTATTGCCGTTTTGTGAGTGTGTTGTTGTGTTGTTTTTCATTTTGAGTAGATATGTTTGGACCTCGTGGGTTGTGTTATGGGCATGGGAATTTTGGTTAAGTTTCGTTGGGGGGTTTGTGAGTTTTGCTGTCCGGTTGAACCAACCTAACAGATTTATATATATAGATTCTTAGTATATTATACTTATATTAGGGCCCCCTGGGGTGCAGAAGATTAAACCGCTGAGCTGCTGAACTTGCTGACCAAAAGCTTGGCAGTTCGAATCTAGGGAGCAGGGTGAGTAATATAGTAATATTCATTTTAATATATTATAATTATTATATTACTGTATTGTCGAAGGCTTTCATGGCTGGAATCACTAGGTTCTTGTGGGTTTTTTTGGACTTTAAGGCCATGGTCTAAAGGCATTCTCTCCTGACGTTTCGCCTGCATCTATGGCAAGCATCCTCAGAGGGTGTGGGGTGGGCACAGAGCTCTTGTCTGCTGGAGCTAGGTGTGAATGTTTCAACTGACCACGCTTTGAGCCATTCAATGGTAATGAAGGTGGTCAGTTGAAACATTCACACCTAGCTCCAGCAGACAAGAGTTCTTTGTCTCACCCTGGTCATTCCACAGATATATAAACCCTTTTCCTAGTTCCAACAGACCTCACTACCTCTGAGGATGCTTGCCATAGATGCAGGCGAAACGTCAGGAGAAATGCCTCGAGAACATGGCCATATAGCCCGAAAAAACCCACAAGAACCTAGTGATTCCAGCCATGAAAGCCTTCGACATTATTATTATTATTACTATTATTATGGTTGGATGGCCATCTGTCAGGGGGTTGGACTAGATGGCCTTTAGAGGTCCCTTCTATTATTATTATTATTATTATTTATTGAGGTTGGATGGCCATCTGTCAGGAGGCTGGACTAGATGGGCTTTAGAGGTCCCTTCCAACTCTATTATTATTATTATTATTATTATTATTATTATTATTATTATTATTATTATTATTGGGGTTGGACTAGATGGCCTTTAGAGGTCCCTTCCAACTCTATTATTATTATTATTATTATTATTATTATTATTATTGAAGTTGGATGGCCATGGGGGGCTTTGATTGTGCTTTTTCTGCATGGCAGAAGGGGGTTGGACTAGATGACCTTTAGAGGTCCCTTCCAACTATTATTACCATTATTATTATTATTATTATTATTATTACTATGATTATGGTTGGATGGCCATCTGTCCAGGGGTTGGACTAGACGGCCTTTAGAGGTTCCTTCCAACTCTATTATTATATTATTATTATTACTACTACTACTACTACTACTCTTACTATTATTTAGGTTGGATGGCCATCTGTCAGGGGGTTGGACTAGATGGCCTTTAGAGATCCCTTCCAACTCTATCATTACTATTATTACTACTTCTACTACTATTATTACTATTATTGAGGTTGGATGGCCATATGTCAGGGGGTTGGACTAGATGGACTTTAGAGGTCCCTTCCACCTCTATTATTACTATTATTATTATTATTATTATTGAGGTTGGATGGACATCTCTCAGGGGGTTGGATTAGATTGGACTAGATGGCCTTTAGAGGTCCCTTCCAACTCTATTTTTACTATTACTACTACTACTACTACTACTACTACTACTATTGAGGTTGGATGGCCATCTATCAGGGGATTGGAATGGGGTTGGACTAGATTGGACTTTAGAGGTCCCTTTCAACTCTATTATTACCATTATTATTATTACTATTATTATGGTTGGATGGCCATCTGTCAGGGGGTTGGACTAGATGGACTTTAGAGGTCCCTTCCAACTCTATTATTACTACTACTACTACTACTACTACTACTATTATTATTGAGGTTGGATGGCCATCTGTCAGGGGGTTGGACTAGATGGACTTTAGAGGTCCCTTCCAACTCTATTTTTACTACTACTACTACTACTACTACTACTACTACTACTACTACTATTGAGGTGGGATGGCCATCTATCAGGGGGTTGGACTAGATGGCCTTTAGAGGACCCTTCAACTCTTCATGATCCTAGTATAATATGCCGTAGCTTGCCGGTGCCGTCGTTTAATGCTCACATTTCCGTGAGTCCATTCAAGAGCATTCTCCTACCACGAATGTGTGGGCTTTGCCCCCTTGGCTAAGCAACCGTCGCAGGGACGGCTTGTGGATGGGAGGGCGCTCCCGCCTGGTCCGAGGAGGCCTTACCTTCTCGTACTTCTCCTTCAGCTTCCCGGCCTTGTTGTTGTAGGGCTGCTTCTCCCCGTCGCTGAGGTTGTTCCACATCTCTCCCAGCTTCTTGGCCACGTCACCAATGGAGATCCCGGGGTTGGTGGACTTGATCTTGGGGCGGAACTCTGAGCAGAAGAGGAAGAAGCCCGATCTGGGGAGGAGGACGAGAAGGGAGAGCCAACGCTCGGTTACGGGTTGACACAACCTGAGATCCAACCAAATTCCAGGTCCTTGCAGCTATTTGGATCTAGAGATGGTCAAAAGCAAGTGTGTGGGACCCAAAAGACTAAACTTGCTAACCAAAAGGTTGCAGGTTCGAATCCAGGGAGTGGGGTGAGCTCCCGCTGTTAGCCCCAGCTCCTGCCAACCTAGCACGCCAATGTGAGTAGATCAACAGGTACCGCTCTGGCGGGAAGGTAACGGCGCTCCATGCAGTCCCGCCAGTGGCCATATGACCTTGGAGGTGTCCACGGAAAACCCCGGCTCTTATATTTATATTCTCTCACATTATAATTATTATATTACTATTATACTACTACTATTATTATTACTACTACTACTACTACTATACTATTGCATTAGTATTACTATTACAATTACTGCATTACTATTATTGGTATTAGTATATTGTATTTATATTACATGATTATTATTCATTTTATTGTATTATTATTAGAACTACTATATATTATTATTACTTTATTAGTAGTATATTATATTATATTACATGATTATTATTCATTTTATTGTGTTATTATTATTAGAACTACTAAATTATATTATTATTACTTTATTAGTAGTATATTATATTATATTACATGATTATTATTCATTTTATTGTGTTATTATTATTAGAACTACTAAATTATATTATTATTACTTTATTATTAGTATATTTTATTTATATTACATGATTATTATTCATTTTATTGTATTATTATTAGAACTACTATATATTATTATTACTTTATTAGTAGTATATTATATTATATTACATGATTATTATTCATTTTATTGTGTTATTATTATTAGAACTACTAAATTATATTATTATTACTTTATTAGTAGTATATTATATTATATTACATGATTATTATTCATTTTATTGTGTTATTATTATTAGAACTACTAAATTATATTATTATTACTTTATTAGTAGTATATTTTATTTATATTACATGATTATTATTCATTTTATTGTATTATTATTACTATTAGAACTACTACATTATATTACTATTACTTTATTATTGGTATATTGTTTATTGTATTTATATTACATCATTATTATTCATTTTATTGTATTATTATTATTATTATTATTAGAACGACTATATTACATTATTACTTTATTATGAGTATATTGTATTTATATTACATTTATATTACATGATTATTATCCATTTTAATGTATGTGGGGTAAACTGCTGAGCTGCTGAACTCGCTGACTGAAAGGACTCATCTTGTTGTGCATCTAATAATAATAATAATAATAATAATAATAATAATAATACAACATCACATTCCTAGACACTTGGGAAGCGTCCGACGTGTGATCCAATACAACAGCCAGCAGAGTGATCTTGTTTGCTGTGGATCCATCTTGTTATGTTTCTAATAATAATAATAATAATAATAATAATAATAATAATAATACAACATCACACAGTCCTAGACATTTGGGAAGTTCCGACGTGTGATCCAATACAACAGCCAGCAGAGTGACCTTGTTTGCTGTGGACTCATCTTGTCGTGTATCTAATAATAATAATAATAATAATAATAATAATAACAATAATAATAATACATCACACAGTCCTAGAGACTTGGGAAGTGTCCGATGTGTGATCCAATTCAACAGCCAGCAGAGTGTCTGCTGTGGACTCATCTTGTCGTGTATCTAATAATAATAATAATAATAATAATAATAACAATAATAATAATACATCACACAGTCCTAGAGACTTGGGAAGTGTCCGATGTGTGATCCAATTCAACAGCCAGCAGAGTGTCTGCTGTGGACTCATCTTGTTGTGTTTCAAATAATAATAATAATAATAATAATAATAATAATAATAATAATAATACATCACACAATCCTAGACGCTTGGGAAGTGTCCAACGTGTGATCCAATACAACTGCCAGCAGAGTGTCTGCTGTGGACCCATCTTGTTGTGTATCTAATAATAATAATAATAATAATAATAATAATAATAATAATACAACACACAGTCCTAGACACTTGGGAAGTGTCCAACGTGTGATTGCAGAGTGATCTTGTTTGCTGTTGACCCATCTTGTTGTGTATCTAATAATAATAGTAATAATAATAATAATAATACAACATCACAGTCCTAGACACTTGGGAAGCGTCCGACGTGTGATCCAATACAACAGCCAGCAGAGTGATCTTGTTTGCTGTGGATCCATCTTGTTATGTTTCTAATAATAATAATAATAATAATAATAATAATAATAATAATAATAATAATACAACATCACACAGTCCTAGAAGATTTGGGAAGGTCCGACGTGTGATCCAATACAACAGCCAGCAGAGTGACCTTGTTTGCTGTGGACTCATCTTGTGTGTTCTAATAATAATAATAATAATAATAATAATAATAATAATAATAATAATAATAATACATCACACAGTCCTAGACACTTGGGAAGTGTCCGACGTGTGATCCAATTCAACAGCCAGCAGAGTGTCTGCTGTGGACTCATCTTGTTGTGTTTCTAATAATAATACTAATAATAACAATAATAATAATAATACAACATCACAGTCCTAGACACTTGGGAAGTGTCCAACGTGTGATCCAATACAACTGTCAGCAGAGTGTCTGCTGTGGACCCATCTTGTTGTGTATCTAATAATAATAATAATAATAATAATAATAATAATAATAATACAACACACAGTCCTAGACACTTGGGAAGTGTCCAACGTGTGATTGCAGAGTGATCTTGTTTGCTGTTGACCCATCTTGTTGTGATACCTCTAGCAAAAGGGGAGGGGGTGCTAATCCTGTTTTGCTTTCTCTTGTTTTTTATTATTATTATTATTATTATTATTATTATTATTATTATTATTTATTTAATTTATTTTTTTTTATTTTTTTTATTTTTTTTTTTTATTTTCTTTATACTGTTTCTTTTGTTCTAGTGGATCTACCTTTTTTTTTTTTTTTTTTTTTTTTGTTTTTTGTTTTTCTTTTTTTTTCTCCATTTGTTTTGTTCTTCATTTTAATTATTGTATTGTTTTTAAGGTTTGTTTGTTTTTTTTTGTTTTGTTTTTTTTTGCACTACAAATAAGATGTGTGCATAGGAATTCATTCACAGATCATCAAAAGCAAGAAGGAAGTCAACAACTTTCTTTTTTTCTTTTTTGGTTTTTAGAGTTTCAAAATTTTCATTTTTTTCTCTTTCTTTCCTCTTTTTCTTTCCTCTTTTCTCTCTTTTTCCTACTTTCTATACAAGGAAATGTTCTCCCACGTTCAATGTAAAGGAAATACTATTTCTAGATTTCTTTTTTTTTTTCATTTTCTTTATTTCACATGATAAAATTTCAATTTAAAAAGAGGTTACTTTGACTGGCTGTGTAGACACCCTCCCACTGTTTCTTTTTCTCTTTTTTCTTGTTTTTTTCTTTTTTTTTTTTTTTTTCTTTTGCTATTTTTTTTTTTTTTTTTTTTTTTTTTTTTGTTGTTGTTTTGTTTGTTTTTTTTTTTATTTGTTTTTGTGTTTTTGTTGTCTTTCTTTTCTTATTGTTTTTGTTCCTGTTTCACGATGTGATCTTGTTTGCTGTTGACCCATCTTGTTGTGTATCTAATAATAATAGTAATAATAGTAATAATAATAATAATAATACAACATCACAGTCCTAGACACTTGGGAAGCGTCCGACGTGTGATCCAATACAACAGCCAGCAGAGTGATCTTGTTTGCTGTGGATCCATCTTGTTATGTTTCTAATAATAATAATAATAATAATAATAATAATAATAATAATAATAATAATACAACATCACACAGTCCTAGAAGATTTGGGAAGGTCCGACGTGTGATCCAATACAACAGCCAGCAGAGTGACCTTGTTTGCTGTGGACTCATCTTGTTATCTAATAATAATAATAATAATAATAATAATAATAATAATAATAATAATAATAATAATCCATCACACAGTCCTAGAGACTTGGGAAGTGTCCGACGTGTGATCCAATGAAACAGACAGCAGAGTGTCTGCTGTGGACTCATCTTGTTGTGTATCTAATAATAATACTAATAATAACAATAATAATAATAATACAACATCACACAGTCCTAGACACTTGGGAAGTGTCCAACGTGTGATCCAATACAACAGCCAGCAGAGTGTCTGCTGTGGACCCATCTTGTTGTGTATCTAATAATAATAATAATAATAATAATAATAATAATAATAATAATACAACAACACACAGTCCTAGACACTTGGGAAGCATCCGATGTGTGATTGCAGAGTGATCTTGTTTGCTGTTGACCCATCTTGTTGTGTATCTAATAATAATAGTAATAATAATAATAATAATAATAATAATAATACAACATCACAGTCCTAGACACTTGGGAAGCGTCCGACGTGTGATCCAATACAACTGCCAGCAGAGTGTCTGCTGTGGACGCATCTTGTTGTGTTTCTAATAATAATAATAATAATAATAATAATAATAATAATAATAATAATAATTAATAATGATAGAATCCAAGAGTTGGAAGAGACCTCCTGGGCCTTCATCCAGTCCAACCCCATTCTGCTGTGGACTCATCTGTTGTGTTTCTAATAATAATAATAATAATAATAATAATAATAATACATCACATCAGTCCTAGACACTTGGGAAGCGTCCGACGTGTGATCCAATACAACAGCCAGCAGAGTGACCTTGTTTGCTGTGGACTCATCTTGTTGTGCATATAATAATAATAATAATAATAATAATAATAATAATAATAATAATAATTCCTAATTGTGATATTGCTTTACCTAAAGTCAGGCCACTATTTGAACAGGCTTAATACTATCTTCTGAGTTCTAATAATACAAAATAGTAATAGTGCAGGATGAGGTTGTGTTCCAACAACCGTCTCTTATAATGCTCCGGATCTCCGCGATATCCAGCACCGGATGCGAGCTCGCAAGCCCAAGTCTTCCTCCCGTAACGCCGAACCATTTTCAGCACTGAGGTTCAAACTAGGCCAGTCTGTGTTTACAAGGTGGGCGGGCAGCACTAGGGACTCAAAACACATTTCAGATCCCAGATCTCCTTTTAGTGGTGGGAGCATGATGTTCAACCAAAAATAAACCAGTATCGGGGCCGCGGGGGTGCAACGGGTTAAACCGCTGAAACGTTGAATCTGCTGACCATAATATGTATCTATTAGTCATATTAGGATGTCATCCTATTATTTATGTATTTATGAATATACTATATATAGTATAGTATTAAATAATCATACGTATCTGTATTTGAATATAATCATATGTATCTATTATTAGTACTAGAATGTAATCATATGTATATGTTATTAGTATTAGAGTGTCATCATATTATTTATGTATTTATTAATATAGTAATAGCATATAATAGTATTAAATAATCATATGTATCTGTATTTGAATGCAATCATATGTATATATTATTAGTATTAGAATGTAATAATATGTACCTGTCATTAGTATTAGAATGTCATCGTATTATTTATAAATATAGTGTAGTATATTCAGTGGTGCAGTGGGTTAAGCTGCTGACCAAAAGGTTGGTGGTTTGAAGCAAGGGAGCAGGGTGAGCTCCTGATGTTAGTCCAAGCTCCTGCCAACCTAGCAGTTTGCAAACATGCAAATGTGAGTAAATCAATAGGTACTGCTTCGGTGACCATGCAGTCATGTCAACAACATGACCAGGTCTACAGATAATAGGCTCCTCGGCTTAGAAATGGAACAATGGCTGGAGTTGAGCTCTGCCTCCAGAAGCCGGAAGTGAAAGGGGAAGCCTTTGCCTTTGCTCTGTGTATCTGTGTGTCATTGTCATTCCACAGTATTAAAGGCATTGCATGTTTGCCTAGCTGTGTATGTTGTAATGTGCTCTGAGTCCCCTCAAGGAGATAGAGCTTAATATAAACAAAGTGCTATTATTATCTTTTTTTTAGCACCTCCCAATGGCTGGAGTTGAGCACTGCCTCCAGAAGCCGGAAATGAAAGGGGAAGCCTTTGCCTTTGCTCTGTGTATTTGTGTGTCATTGTCATTCCACAATATTAAATATTATTATTATTACAATATTATTATTATTATTATTATTATTATTATTATTATTTAGCACCTCCCAATGGCTGGAGTTGAGCACTGCCTCCAGAAGCCAGAAATGAAAGGGGAAGCCTTTGCTTTTGCTCTGTGTATTTGTGTGTCATTGTCATTCCACAATATTAAATATTATTATTATTACAATATTATTATTATTATTATTAGCACCTCCCAATGGCTGGAGTTGAGCACTGCCTCCAGAAGCCAGAAATGAAAGGGGAAGCCTTTGCTTTTGCTCTGTGTATTTGTGTATCATTGTCATTCCACAATATTAAAGGCAATGCATGTTTGCCTAGCTGTGTATGTTGTAATCTGCTGAGTCCCCTCAAGGAGATAGAGTGTTATTATTATTATTATTAGCACCTCCCAGTGGCTGGAGTTGAGCCCTGCCTCCAGAAGCCGGAAATGAAAGGGGAAGCCTTTGCCTTTGCTCTGTGTATTAGTGTGTCATTGTCATTCCACAATATTAAAGGCATTGCATGTTTGCCTAGCTGTGTATGTTGTAATCTGCTCTGAGTCCCCTCGAGGAGATAGAGCAGAACATAAACAAAGTGTTGTTATTATTATTATTATTATATAGTTGAGCACTGCCTCCAGAAGCCGGAAATGAAAGGGGAAGCCTTTGCCTTTGCTCTGTGTACTTGTGTATCATTGTCATTCCATAGCATGGCATGTTTGCCTAGCAGTGTATGTTGTAATCTGCTCTGAGTCCCATTGAGGAGATAGAGCAGAATATAAACAAAGTGTAATTATTATTATTATTATTATTATTATTATTATTATTTGAAGCACAACAAGATCAGTCCACAGCAGACACTCTGCTGGCTGTTGAATTATTATTATTATTATTATTATTATTATTATTATTATTATTATTATTAGCACCTCCCAATGGCTGAAGTTAAGCACTGCCTCCAGAAGCCGGAAATGAAAGGGGAAGCCTTTGCCTTTGTATTTGTGTGTCATTGTCATTCCACAATATTAAATATTATTATTACAATATTATTATTATTATTATCACCTCCCAATGGCTGGAGTTAAGCACTGCCTCCAGAAGCCGGAAATGAAAGGGGAAGCCTTTGCCTTTGTATTTGTGTGTCATTGTCATTCCACAATATTAAATATTATTATTACAATATTATTATTATTATCACCTCCCAATGGCTGGAGTTAAGCACTGCCTCCAGAAGCCGGAAATGAAAGGGGAAGCCTTTGCCTTTGCTCTGTGTATTGGTGTGTCATTGTCATTCCACAATATTAAATATTATTATTATTACAATATTATTATTATTATTATTATTATTATTATTAGCACCTCCCAATGGCTGGAGTTGAGCACTGCCTCCAGAAGCCGGAAAGGAAAGGGGAAGCCTTTGCCGAGGAGATAGAGCTGGATACAAAGTGTTGTGGTTGTTGTTGTTGTTATTATTAGCACCTCCCAATGGCTGGAGTTAAGCACTGTCTCCAGAAGCCGGAAATGAAAGGGGAAGCCTTTGCATTTGTGTGTCATTGTCATTCCACAATATTAAATATTATTATTCTTACATTATTATTATTATTATTATTATTATTATTAGCACCTCCCAATGGCTGGAGTTAAGCACTGCCTCCAGAAGCCGGAAATGAAAGGGGAAGCCTTTGCCTTTGTATTTGTGTGTCATTGTCATTCCACAATATTAAATATTATTATTACAATATTATTATTATTATTATCACCTCCCAATGGCTGGAGTTAAGCACTGCCTCCAGAAGCCGGAAATGAAAGGGGAAGCCTTTGCCTTTGCTCTGTGTATTGGTGTGTCATTGTCATTCCACAATATTAAATATTATTATTATTACAATATTATTATTATTATTATTATTATTATTATTATTATTAGCACCTCCCAATGGCTGGAGTTGAGCACTGCCTCCAGAAGCCGGAAAGGAAAGGGGAAGCCTTTGCCGAGGAGATAGAGCTGGATACAAAGTGTTGTGGTTGTTGTTGTTGTTATTATTAGCACCTCCCAATGGCTGGAGTTAAGCACTGTCTCCAGAAGCCGGAAATGAAAGGGGAAGCCTTTGCCTTTGCATTTGTGTGTCATTGTCATTCCACAATATTAAATATTATTATTCTTACATTATTATTATTATTATTATTATTATTATTATTATTATTATTATTAGCACCTCCCAATGGCTGGAGTTAAGCACTGTCTCCAGAAGCCGGAAATGAAAGGGGAAGCCTTTGCCTTTGCATTTGTGTGTCATTGTCATTCCACAATATTAAATATTATTATTCTTACATTATTATTATTATTATTATTATTATTATTATTATTATTAGCACCTCCCAATGGCTGGAGTTAAGCACTGTCTCCAGAAGCCGGAAATGAAAGGGGAAGCCTTTGCCTTTGCATTTGTGTGTCATTGTCATTCCACAATATTAAATATTATTATTCTTACATTATTATTATTATTATTATTAGCACCTCCCAATGGCTGGAGTTAAGCACTGTCTCCAGAAGCAGGAAATGAAAGGGGAAGCCTTTGCTTTTGCTCTGTGTATGTTGTAATCTGCTCTGAGTCCCCTCAAGGAGACAGAGTGGAATATAAACAAAGTGTTGTTGTTGTTATTAGTAGCACCTCCCAATGGCTGGAGTTGAGCACTGCCTCCAGAAGCCGGAAATGAAAGGGGAAGCCTTTGCCTTAGATTTCCAGTGGGAAGGGGTCAAGCTCATTTCAAAGCCTCAATGGGTTTGAAGGACACCCAACCCTGACCCAACAATTGAATCCTGTGTCCCTGTTCAGGGGAAGGAAAGGGGTCCGGTGACTTACGGCGGGCGCTTTGGAGCGTTGGGGTCCTTCTTCTTCTTGCCACCCTTCGCTGGCCCGTAATCCTTCATTTCTCTATCATATCTGACTTTGTCGGCTTTGGCCATCTCATCAAATTTGCCCTTCTCCTTGGTGGACATGGTCTGGAACGGAAAAGACAGCCCGTTACGCGTGGATCGCCTGAGTCTTAGAAGCCACCATTACAATCTAATACAGTTCCTCATTTGTGGTGACCCCCAACCATAACATTATTTTCGTTGCTACTTCACAACTGTAATTTTTCTACTGTTATGAATCATAATGTAAATCTCTGAGATGCAGGATGTATTTTCATTCACTGGACCAAATGCCCAATACGCCCAAATTTGAATACTGGTAGGGTTGGGGAAGGGGTGATTTTGTCATGCTGGGATTTATAGTTCACCTACAATCAAAGAGGATTCTGAACTCCACCAACAATGGGATTGAACCAAACTTGGCATACAGAACTCCCATGACCAACCAAAACTACTGGAAGGGTTTGGTGGGCATTGACCTTGAGTTTTGGAGTTGTAGTCCACCTACATCCAGAGAGCACTATGGACTCAAATAATGATGGATCTGGAACAAACTTGGCACAAATACTCAATATGCCCGAATGTGAACACTGGTGGAGTTTGGAGAAAATAGACCTTGACAATTGGGAGTTGTAGTTGCTAGGATTTATAGTTCACCTACAATCAAAGAACATTCTGAACTCCACCAATGATGGAATTGAACCAAACTATATACAGCATCTAATTGTGCTGGTTTTGTATGCTGCCCTGAGTCGCATTTGGGCTGAAAATGGCGGGATAAAAATGACATGAATAAATAAATAAATCAACTTGGCACACAGAACTCCCATGACCAACAGAAAATACTGGAAGAGTCCAGTGGGCATATGACCTTGAGTTTTGGAGTTGTAGTCCACCTACATCCAGAGAGCACTATGGACTCAAATAATGATGAATGTGGAACAAACTTGGCATGAATACTCAATATGCCCGAATGTGAACACTGCTGGAGTTTGGGGAAAACAGACCTTGAAATTTAGGAGTTGTAGTTGCTGGGATTTATAGTTCACCTACAATCAAAGAGCATTCTGAACTCCACCAACATGGAATTGAACCAAACTTGGCACACAGAACTCCCATGACCAACAGAAAACTACTGGAAGGGTTGGTGGGCATTGACCTTGAGTTTGGAGTTGTAGTTCACCTACATCCAGAGAGCACTGTGGAATCAAACAATGATGGATCTGGACCAAACTGGCACGAATACTCAGTATGCCCAAATGTGAACACTGGTGGAGTTTGGGGGAAAATAGACCTTGACATTTGAGAGTTGTAGTTGCTGGGATTTCTAGTTCACCTACAATAAGAGCATTCTGAGCTCCAGCAACAATGGAATTGGGCCAAACTTCCCACATAGAACCCCCACGCCTTGAAGGGACTCACTGGCATGAGCCTCGCACGCTAACGGTCTTTGGCACCCCTCTGAAGACCCCCTCGCGACCCCCCCAGAGGTCCCGACTCCCAGTTAAGAAACACTGATCTAACTTATGTTAAGAGGTCAATGTCTGGTTGGTATGTGTAAAGACCCATTTCCATATATTTTGCAAACAAAAACAAGTTTCTAGACCTCATGAAATCTCATTAACCTGCATAACTTGTGGGCCCTCCCCTCCGGGTGTTTTGGACTCCAACTCCCACAATTCCTGGCCTCAGGCCCCTTCCTTTTCCCCCTCAGCTGCTTAAGCGGCTGAGGGGGGAAAGGAAAGGGCCTGAGGCCAGGAATTGTGGGAGTTGGAGTCCAAAACACCCGGAGGGAGGGCCTAATTTGGCCCATGCTTTCTGTAGACACACCCCAGAAGGCCTCTAGCAATACCTTCCATCGCTCTGAGCACTTCTTGGAAAACTCTGCGAAGTTGACGGGAACTTCTGGGTTCTTCTTCTTGTGCTCCTCGCGGCAGGTCTGCACAAAGAAGGCATAGGCAGACATCTTCCCCTTCGGCTTCTTCGGGTCACCTTTAGCCATTTTTAGTTCTCTGGAAAGAGATTTTGGGGCGGAAGGGAGGGGACATAGAGAGAAGCAGGGACATGTAGGGCATCAGACAGCCCAGGCTGACACCCACACCAAACCACCCTCAGATTGGTTATTAGTAACTTGCATGGTCAGCCAGTCCATATTGTTGACTTGTATGGTCAACAAGTCCATATTGTTGACTTGTATGGTCAACCAGTCCATATTGTTGACTTGTATGGTCAACCAGTCCATAATGCCATGGTGTTGACTTGTATGGCCAAGAATGGTTCAACTAGCCCATAATGCAAATAGTATGAATTCGCATGGTCAAGAATGGATGAACCATCCCATAATGCCATATTGTTGACTTGTATGGTCAACCAGTCCATAATGGTGTTGACTTGTATGGCCAAAAATGGATCAACTAGCCCATAATGCAAATAGTATTAACTTGCATGGGCAAGAATGGATGAACCATCCCATAATGCCATATTGTTGACTTGTATGGTCAACCAGGCCATAATGCCATGGTGTTGACTTGTATAGCCAAGAATGGATCAACTAGCCCATAATGCAAATAGTATGAATTCGCATGGTCAAGAATGGATGAACCATCCCATAATGCCATATTGTTGACTTGTATGGCCGAGAATGCCATAGTATGAATTTGCATGATCAAGAATGGATGAACCATCCCATAATGCCATAGTGTTGACTTGTATGGCCAAGAATGCCATGATATTAACTTGCATGGTCAAGAATGGATGAACCGGCTCATAATGCCATATTGTTGACTTGTATGGTCAACCAGTCCATAATGCAATAGTGTTGACTTGTACGTCCAAGAATGCCATAGTATGAATTTGCATGATCAAGCATGGATGAACCATCCCATAATGCCATAGTGTTGACTTGTATGGCCAAGAATGCCATGATATTAACTTGCATGGTCAAGAATGGATGAACCGGCCCATAATGCCATAGTGTTGACTTGTATGGTCAACCAGTCCATAATGCCATGGTGTTGACTTGTATGGCTAATAATGGAGGAACCAATCCATAATGTAAATAGTGTTGACTTGTATAGCCAAGGATGAACCAGTCCATAATGCCCTAGCATTAACTTTGCATATCTATTCATCCATATTGCCAAAGTGTTGACTTGTACGGTCAATCAGTCCATAATGGCAGTGTTGACTTGTATGGACAAGAATGGACAAACCAGTCCATAATGTAAATAGTATTAACTTGCATGGTCTAGAATGGATGAACCAGTCCATAATGCCATAGTGTTGACTTGTATGGTCAACCAGTCCATAATGTCATAGTGTTGACTTGTAGGTCAACCAGCCCATAATGTCAGTGTCGACTTGTATGGACAAGAATGGACAACCCAGTCCATAATGCAAATACTATTAACTTGCAGGGTCAAGAATGGATGAACCAATCCATAATGTAGCGTTGACTTGTATGGCCATGCATGAACCAGTACATAATGCCACAGTATTGACTTGTATGACCAAGAATGGACGAACCAGGCCATAATGTCATAGTGTTGACTTATATGGTCAACCAGTCCATAATGTCATAGCGTTGACTTGCATGGTCAACCAGTCCATAATGCCATAGTGTTGACTTGCATGGTCAACCAGCCCATGCCATAGAGTTGATTTGTATGGTCAACCAGTCTATAATGTGTTGACTTGTATGGTCAACCAGCCCATAATGTTGTAGTGTTAGCTTGAATGGTCAACCAGCCCATAATGTCATAGTGTTGACTTGTATGGTCGACCAGCCCATGGTGTCATAGTGTTGACTCGTATGGTCAACCAGTCCATAATGTTGTAGTGTTGACTTGAATGGTCAACCACACATAATGCCATAGATTTGACTTGTATGGTCAACCAGCCCATAATGTTGTAGTGTTAGCTTGAATGGTCAACCAGCCCATAATGTCAGTGTTGACTTGAATGGTCAACAAGCCCATAATGTCGTAGTGTTGACTTGTATGGTCGACCAGCCCATGGTGTCATAGTGTTGACTCGTATGGTCAACCAGTCCATAATGTTGTAGTGTTGACTTGAATGGTCAACCACACATAATGCCATAGTGTTGACTTGAATGGTCAACCAGCCCATAATGTTGTAGTGTTGACTTGTATGGTCAACAGTCTATAATGCTATAGTATTGACTTGCATGGTCAACCAGTCCATAATGTTATAGTGTTGACTTGTATGGTCAATCAGCCCATAATGTCATAGTGTTGATTTGTATGGTCAATCAGCCCATAATGTCGTAGTGTTGACTTATATGGTCAACCAGCCCATAATGTCGTAGTATTGACTTGTATGGTCAAACAGTCCATAATGCCATAGTGTTGACTTGTATGGTCAACAGTCTATAATGCCGTAGTGTTGACTTGTATGGTCAACCGGCCCATAATGTTGTAGTCTTGACTTGTATGGTCAACAGTCTATAATGCCATAGTGTTGACTTGTATGGGCAACCAGTCCATAATGTCGTAGTGTTGACTTGAATGGTCAACCACACATAATGCCATAGAGTTGACTTGCATGGTCAACCAGTCCATAATGTTGTAGTGTTGACTTGTATGGTCAACCAGCCCAAAATGCCATATGGCTAAGAATGGATGAACCAGCCCATAATGTAAATAGTGTTGACTTATATGGCCAAGAATGGATGAACTTGCCCATAAAGACATACAGCTGACTTGTATGGTCAACCAGTCCGTAATGCCATAGTGTTGGCTTGCTTGGCTAAACTTGTCCCTAATGCCCCAAAAGTTAAGAGTCGAGGAACTGCCCTCCATTGTGGCTTTGATGGGCTTTGGCCAGTCTTCTCAATTCTTGCAGCTCCAACTTCTCCAGAACTTGGATCTGCTTTGGCACAACTTCCACTAAAGTGGCCAGTTCCGGCTGCCTGGCGGTGAGGGGTTGGGGGTCCCTTCTTCTTCCTTTCGCCACCAGCACCTACCACTCACTTTTGGGATAGTGAGAAATGACCATAATAATTTGCAGGGTTGAAAAAAAAAAACCCTAAAATATAATCTCATATATAGGTATGTGTGTGTGTGTGTGTGTGTGTCTATAGAGCTCCCCTGCCTGGGATGTTCCCTCCTTGGTAGTGTTTCCCTCGCTTTTGCCATAAAAAAGGCATGCACTCAAAAAGGAGTTGTGTATGTGTGCACGCATAGACATATCTCCCTTCTGTGTTGTGTATGTGTGTATATATCTATATATCTATATCTCCTGCTTGTGTTGTTCTCTCTTTGGAAGCATTTCCCTCATTTTTGCCATTAAAAAAGCATGCGGAACTCAGAAAGAAGTTGTGTATGTGTATATATGTGTGTGTGTATATATATATCTCCTACTTGGAAGTTTTCCCTTCATTTTTGTCATAAAAAGGGCATGGAAACTAAAAAAGGAGGTGTGTGTGTGTATGTATGTATGTATATATGTATGTATATGTACGTGTGTGTGTGTATATATATATCCCACCTGTGTATGTATATGTATATATATCCCACCTGTATGTGTGTGTGTATATATATATCTCCTACCTGTGTATGTATATGTATGTTTGTGTACATGTATATATGTGTATAATATATATCCCACCTGTATGTGTGTACATGCATGTATATGTGTGTGTGTATCCCCTGCATGTATGTGTGTGTGTGTATATATATATATCTCCTACCTGTGTATGTATATGTATGTTTGTGTACATGTATATATGTGTATAATATATTAATATATATAATATATAATATATAAATAAATAATAAATAAATAAATAAATAATAAATATGTTTGTGTACATGTATATATGTGTATAATATATCCCACCTGTATGTGTGTACATGCATGTATATGTGTGTGTGTATCCCCTGCATGTATGTGTGTGTGTGTATATATATATATCTCCTACCTGTGTATGTATATGTATGTTTGTGTACGTGTATATGTGGTATATATATATATATATCCCACCTGTATGTGTGTACATGTATGTATATGTGTGTGTATATATATCCCACCTGTATGTGTGTGCATGTATATATGCATGTATATATGTGTGTGTGTATCCCCTGCATGTATATGTGTGTGTATGTATATATCCCACCTGTATGTATGTGTATGTATATATATATATAGATATATCTACCTGTGTATGTATACTGTGTGTACTTGTGTGTATATATATCTATCCCACCTGTATGTGTATTTATTTATTTATATATTTTTCAAACTTATATGCCGCCACTCCCCTGGGGCGGCATATAAGTGTGTGTGTGTGTGTGTGTGTGTGTGTGTGTGTATATATATCCCACCTGTGTATGTATATGTGTGTGCATGTGTATATATGCCACCTGTGTGTGTGAGTATCTATGTATGTGTGTATATATATACATCTGTATATCTGTATCTGTGTCTCCTGCCTGTGTTGTTCTCACCTTGGAAGTGTTTACCTCACTTTTGCCATCAAAAAAGCATGGAAAACTCCAAAAGGAGTTGTGTGTGTGTATCTATCTATCTATCTATCTATCTATCTATCTATCTATCTATCTCCTGCCTGTGTTGTTCCCTCCTTGAAAGTGTTTCCTCCACTTTTGCAATCAAAAGGCATGGAAAACCCAAAAAGGAGTTGTGTGTGTGTTTGTGTGTATGTGTATACCTCCCTCTCCCACCTGTGTTGTGTGTCTGTGTGTGTATCTACCTCCCTCCCTCCCTCCCTGTGTCCCTCCTCCCCGCCTGGTGGAGTCCTCAGAAGTGTTTGCTTTTGTCATCAAAAGGCACAGAAAACTCAAAAAGGAGTTGTCTGTGTGTGTGTGTGTGTATCTACCTACCTACCTACCTACCTAGTCCCCCCTTCCCATGTTGTGGAGTCCTCAGAAGTGTTTTTGTCATCAAAGTGTGTGTGTGTGTGTGTGTGTATACCTCCCTCTCCCACCTGTGTTGTGTGTCTGTGTGTGTGTATCTACCTTCCTAGTCCCCCCTTCCCTTGTTGTGAAGTCCTCAGAAGTGTTTCCTCTGCTTTTGTCATCAAAAGGCACGGAAAACTCAAAAAGGAGTTGGGTATGTGTGTGTTTGTATGTATGTATACAAACATATAGGTACACACAAACATATAGGTACATACATGTCCTGCCTGGGTTGTGTGTACCTATAAGTCCCCCCTTCCCGTGTTGTGGAGTCCTCAGAAGTGTTTCCTCTGCTTTTGTCATCAAAAGGCATGGCAAACTCAAAAAGGAGTTGTGTATGTGTGTGTTTACACACACCTCCTGCCTGTGTTGTGTGTGTGTGTATCTATCTACCTACCTAGTCCCCCTTCCCTTGTTGTGGAGTCCTCAGAAGTGTTTCCTCTGCTTTTGTCATCAAAAGGGACCGAAAACTCAAAAAGGAGTTGTGTATGTGTGTGTTTGTGTGTATACACACACCTCCTGCCTGTGTTGTGTGTCTGTGTATCCACCTTCCTAGTCCCCCCTTCCCATGTTGTGGAGTCCTCAGAAGTGTTTCCTCTGCTTTTGTCATCAAAAGGCACGGAAAACTCAGAAAGGAGTTGTGTGTGTGTGTTTACACACACCTCCTGCCTGTGTTGTGTGTGTGTGTGTGTATCTACCTCCCTCCCTACCTATATGTCCCCCCTTCCCGTGTTGTGGAGTCCTCAGAAGTGTTTCCTTTTGACATCAAAAGGGACCGAAAACTCAAAAAGGAGTTGTGTATGTGTGTTTGTGTGTTTACACACACCTCCTGCCTGTGTTGGGTGTGTGTGTGTGTGTGTATCTACCTACCTACCTAGTCCCCCTTCCCCGTGTTGTGGAGTCCTCATAAGTCTCTCTTTCGCTTTTGCCACCCAAAAAGGGGGCCAAGGGGAAAAAACTCGCGTGGAATGAGTGGGTCTCCCTTCCCGCCTTTCCCTCTCCTTCCTTCCCAAGATCCACGCAAAGGAGGGGAAGCCAAAGAGCCCCCTTGTCCGTGGAAGAAGGGGAAAAGTTTCCTTCGCGTGGAAAAGAGAGAGAGAGAGAGAGAGGTGTGTGCGTGTTTTTCCCACTCTCCCCCCCCCCAAAAAACCCCAAGGTCATTGGGGAACGAGACCCCCCCCCAACGCGACCTTGTCCGTGTCCCCACGCGCGGGGGTGTTTTGGGGGGCGATCCGCGTGTGCGTGTTTCTCCCCCACGCGTGGGTCAGCGCGGCCCCCACTCTGACCATCATTCACCTCCTTCCATTTTGTGGGAGGCTTGCTGATGAAAGAAAGTGGCCCTGAAATGGTGCGTGGGGGCCCCCGGTGGGGCTGCGGGGTCCGTGGGGGGCCCACGGGGCGTGCTCCGTGGGTCGCTCCCCCTTCCCAGCCGGATTGAGAGAGAGAGAGGCGCTTCCACTCACGGCGCCCCATTCGCTAAAATGGCTTCTCCTCCAAAGGCACTGCCTAACAAAGCCAGGCGCCTCCGCCTCCCCACGGAAAGACCCCTCCCGGGCGGACCCCGGCTCGCATCCGCCCCATTCCGGTGTCCTTCTCAAGAGCAAGCGATTCTCTTTCCAACAAGACCGGTCCCGAGCCCCCCACGCGCGGGGAAGGGGTCGCGATCCCGCTTTGAAGCAGCCCCCCCTCCCTCGCCCTGTCCCCGCTTAGCGCAATAGGCTGTATAACAAAGACTGAAGCGCAGCCATTACAAGGCTTTGCTGGCTTCCCACTCCTGAAAGGGAACGAAAGAGCCCGCCAAAGGTCCCCACGGGCTCGGAACACGCCCAAAAAGGCACCCACGGAGAGAGATAAAAGAGACGCCACGGAGGCGAAAGGTTGCGAGGGTTTTTGAAGCGAGCCCACGGAGAAAGCCTCTCTTTTCGCCCCTCGCCGCCTTTCTTCCCCTTCGCCGTGCGCAGCCATGTTAAGAATGCACCCAAGGCACAAGCAGAATCCCCGACGCGCACGGAAGAACCCCTTCGCGGCTCCCACGCGGTCGGAGCGACACGAGGGAGGTGTTTTTGGGAAGGGGAAAAAGGGGGGAGACGAAGGCGGAAGGTTTCCCGCCTCTCCGGAAGCCAGGGGGGGAAATAAACCGTGCAAAAGGAGAAACACGCGTGGGGTGTCCTTCCTTTCCTCTCCCCCCCCCCTTTTCCACTCAATCTTGTTCTCGCCCGGGACGTTCCGCGTGGATGGTGGCAGTCGAGATGCCATGATTATTCAATGCGGAAAGGGGGGGGGGGGGAGAGAGAGAGACAAACCGTGGGGGTCACGGACACGCGTGGAAATTACAAAAAATAAAAGGGACTCAAAGTTCAGCAATGGGGTTACGAAAAGCTGCGTGGATTTGCGTGGACTCGCGTGGAGTGGGGCAGGGGGAAAATATATTAAAAGTCGGGATTTTCCCACGCGCGGAAGGGAAGGAAAGGAAGGAAAGTTGGCGGGGAAAAGGCAGGAGGGAAATCCACGCGTGGGAACACCTTCATGTTTTGTGGATGGAACAACATTTTGGAGAGAGAAAGAGAGAGAAAGAGAGGGGAGGGCATTGCTTTCACGCGGGAAAAGTTGGGCTCCTACCTACCTACCGCGAGTGGGTCTCCTTCTCCTGCTTCTTCCAAAGCCAAGCGAGGCGGGCGATCCGCGGACACAGGCAAAGGCAAAGGCAAGCAAAGCAAGGCAGGCAGAGGATGCGCGCGCACGCAACCGCACACACTCTCTCTTCCCTCTCTCTCTCTCTCTCACAAGCTCACTCGCGCACGCGCACTCCGGCGAGCACGCACCGCGCTCTCGGCCCTCTCCCCGAGCCTCCCTCCCTCCCTCCTGATTGGTCGCCCCGCGCCGCCGTTGAACACCGCTTCCTCGCCCGGCCATTGGGTGGCCGGCTCATGCATATTAAGCAGCCTGGCTCTTCCGCCATTGGCTGAGGCGCGCGGGACCGTTCATTCAAAAAAAACAAGACCTGCTGGCAGGAAAACAAAAAAAAGAAAATAAAAGAGGGGAGAAATAATTCAGTAATAATAATAATAATAATAATAATAATAATAATAATAATAATAATAATAATAAATAATAATAATAATAATGATGATTTAAAGATCCTCATAGAACTGCAAAGACTCTGGCACAAGCCAGTCAAGGTGGTCCCAGTGGCGATTGGCACACTGGGTGCAATAATAATATAATGATAATAATGATAATAATAATAATATGATAATAATAATGATAATAATAATAATGATGATAATAATAATGATGAATAAATAATAATGATGGTGATAATAATATTTAATAATAATGATGATATAATTATAATAATAATTAATAATAATAATAATGATGATGATGATAATAATAATGATAATAATAATGATGATAATACTAATAATAATGATGATAATGATAATAATATTTAATAATAATGATGATAATAATAATAATAGTAATAATAATAATGATAATAATAATAATAATGATGATGATAATAATAATGATGATGGTGATAATAATAATGATGGTGATAATAATAATAATGATGATGATGATAATAATAATAATAATGGTGATAATAATGGTGATAATAATAATAATATTTAATAATAATATATTGTCGAAGGCTTTCATGGCTGGAATCACTAGGTTCTTGTGGGTTTTTTCGGGCTATAGAGCCATGTTCTAGAGGCATTTCTCCTGACGTTTCGCCTGCATCTATGGCAAGCATCCTCAGAGGTTGAGAAGGTCTGTTGGAAGTAGGAAAAATGGGCTTATATATCTGTGGAATGGCTGGGGTGGGGCAAGGAGCTCTTCCCTGCTGCAGTTAGGTGTGAATGTTTAGCTGATCACCTTCATTAGCATTTGAAGGCCTGCCTGAGTCTGGGAAAATCTGTTGCTGGGAGGTGTTAATCTGTGCCTGGTTTTTTCCTCTCTGTTGTTTAGCTGTTATAATTTTAGAGTTTTTTAATACTGGTAGCCAGATTTTGTTCATTTTCATGGTCTCTTCCTTTCTGTTGAAATTGTCCACATGCTTGTGGATTTCAATGGCTTCTCTGTGTAGTCTGACATGGTGGCTGTTGGTGTGGTCCAGCATTTCTGTGGCACTGCAGACTACTTCAACCAGAGAAGTCAGCCATAGCAGAGCACCTGATGAACCAACCTGGACACAGCATATTATTTGAGAACACAGAAATGCTGGACCACTCTCACAACCACCATGTCAGGCAACACAGAGAAGCCATTGAAATCCACAAGCATGTGGACAATTTCAACAGAAAGGAAGAGACCATGAAAATGAACAAAATTTGGCTACCAGTATTAAAAAACTCTAAAATTATAACAGCTAAACAACAGAGAGGAAAAAACCAAGCACAGATTAACACCTCCCAGCAACAGATTTTCCCAGGCTCAGGCAGGCCTTCAAATGCTAATGAAGGTGATCAGCTAAACATTCACACCTAACTGCAGCAGGGAAGAGCTCCTTGCCCCACCCCAGCCATTCCACAGATATATAAACCCATTTTCCTATTTCCAACAGACCTCACTACCTCTGAGGATGCTTGCCATAGATGCAGGCGAAACGTCAGGAGAAATGCCTCTAGAACATGGCTATATAGCCCGAAAAAACCCACAAGAACCTATTTAATAATAATGATGATATAATTATAATAATAATTAATAATAATAATAATAATAATAATGATAATAATAATGATAATAATGATGGTGATAATAATAATAATGATAATAATAATGATGATAATACTAATAATAATGATGATAATGATAATAATATTTAATAATAATGATGATAATAATAATAATAGTAATAATAATAATGATAATAATAATAATAATGATGATGATAATAATAATGATGATGGTGATAATAATAATGATGGTGATAATAATAATAATGATGATGATGATAATAATAATAATAATGGTGATAATAATACTAATACATAGAATGACATAATAATACTAATAATAGAGATATAAATAGTATGATGGCATTCCAATACTAATAACAGATACAATAATAATAATAATAATAATAATAATAATAATAATAATAATAATAAATAACAGATACATATTATGATGCCATAATACTAATAACAGGTGCATATTATTATTTAATACTTTACTATATTCATACATAGAATAATGATAACGATAATAATAATAATAATAATAATAATAATAATAAGTCCCCCTTTGAGTATTATTATCTCAACGTATTATTTATGCATAAAATAATAATATGCATCTGTTATTAGTATTATGGCATCATAATATGTATCTGTTATTTATTATTATTATTATATCTATTGTTAGTATTATTATGTCATTCTATGTATGAATATAGTAAAGTATTAAATAATAATATGCACCTGTTATTAGTATTATGGCATCATAATATGTATCTGTTATTTATTATTATTATTATTATTATTATTATTATTATTATTATTATTGTATCTGTTATTAGTATTGGAATGCCATCATACTATTTATATATCTATTATTAGTATTATTATGACATTGTATAACTTGTGATACAGTAGAGTATTAAATAATATTATGCACTTGTTATTAGTATAGCAACATAATATGTATCTGTTATTTATTATTATTATTATTATTGTATCTATTGTTAGTATTATTAGTATTGTTATGTCATTCTATGTATGAATATAGTAAAATATTAAATAATAATATGCACCTGTTATTAGTATTATGGCATCATAATAAGTATCTCTTATTTATTATTATTGTTGTTGTTGTATCTAATAATAGATATATAAATAGTATGATGGCATTCCAATACTAATAACAGATACAATAATAATAATAATAATAATAATAATAATAATAATAAATAAGAGATACTTATTATGATGCCATAATACTAATAACAAGTGCATATTATTATTTAATACTTTACTATATTCCTGAATAGAATAATAATAATAATAATAATAATAATAATAATAATAATTAATAATAATAATAATAAAGTATTAAATAATAATATGCACCTGTTATTAGTATTATGGCATCATAATATGTATCTGTTATTTATTTTTATTATTGAATCTGTTATTAGTATTGGAATGCCATCATACCTCATTTACAGTATATTCTGGCGTATAAGACTACTTTTTAACCCAAGAAAATCTTCTCAAAAGTCAGGGGTCGTCTTATACGCGGGTGTAGTCTTATGCATGGGAGTTGTCTTAACTCTATATTTTAACTGGAAAAGTTGGGGGTCGTCTTATACGCCCAGTCGTCTTATATGCCGGAATATACGGTATATATCTATTATTAGTATTATTATGTCATTCTATGTATGGATAAAGTATTAAATAATAACATGCACTTGATATTAGTATTATGGCATCATAATATGTATCTGTTATTTATTTATTATTATTATTATTATTATTATTGTATCTGTTATTAGTATTGGAATGCCAGATACATATTATGATGCCATAATACTAATAACAAGTGCATATTATTATTTAATACTTTACTATATTCATACATAGAATGACATACTAATACTAATGTTGTTGTTCATTCGTTCAGTCGTCTCCGACTCTTCGTGACCTCACGGACCAGCCCATGCCAGAGCTCCCTGTCGGCCGTCACCACCCCCAGCTCCCTCAAGGTCAGTCCAGTCACTTCAAGGATGCCATCCATTCACCTTGCCCTTGGTCGGCCCCTCTTCCTTTTGCCTTCCACTTTCCCCAGCATAATTGTCTTCTCTAGGCTTTCCTGTCTCCTCATGATGTGGCCAAAGTACTTCAACTTTGTCTCTAGTATCTTTCCCTCCAGTGAGCAGTCGCTTTATTTCCTGGAGGATGGACTGGTTGGATCTTCTCGCAGTCCAAGGCACTCTCAGCACTTTCCTCCAACACCACAGCTCAAAAGCATCGATCTTCCTTCGCTCAGCCTTCCCTAAGGTCCAGCTCTCACATCCGTAGGTGACTACAGGGAATACCATGGCTTTGACTAGGAAATGGATCTTTGTTGCCAGTCTGATGTCTCTACTCTTCACTATTTTATCGAGACTGGACATTGCTCTCCTCCCAAGAAGGAAGCGTCTTCTGATTTCCTGGCCACAGTCTGCATCTGCACTCATCTTTGCACTTAGAAATACAAAGTCTGTCACGGCCTCCACGGTTTCTCCCTCTATTTTCCAGTTGTCAATCATTCTTGTTGCCATAATCTTGGTTTTTTTGACGTTTAGCTGCAACCCGGCTTTTGCGATTTCTTCTTTCACCTTGATTAGAAGGCTCCTCAGCTCCTCCTCGCTTTCGGCCATCAGAGTGGTGTCATCTGCATATCTGAGGTTGTTAATGTTTCTTCCAGCCATTTTCACCCCAGCTTTGCATTCATCCAGCCCCGCACATCCTCGCATGATGTGTTCTGCATACAAGTTAAAAAGGTTGGGTGAGAGGATGCAGCCTTGCCGGACGCCTTTCCCAATCTTGAACCAGTCTCCTGTTCCGTGGTCAGTTCTGACTGTTGCTCCTTGGTCCTTGTACAGATTCCTCAGGAGAGAGGGAAGGGGGCTTGGGATGCCCATCCCACCAAGAACTTGCCACAATTTATTATGATCCACACAGTCAAAGGCTTTAGAAGAGTCAATGAAGCAGAAGTAGATGTTTTTCTGAAACTCCCTGCCTTTCTCCATTATCCAGCGGATATTGGCAATCTGGTCTCTCGTTCCTCTGCCTTTTCTAAACCCA